TTAAATTTAACCTTTAAACTAAGAAGATTATCTCCCCCAAAACCCCAAAACCCCTCAGGCTTAAATATACAGAAATAATAATCCAGTTAAATAATTTGAAGTAAAATAACTTTAGTTATCAGAATATAGCATTAAATGTGAAGACTAATTAAGAATCTAGTCTTTTAAAAGCACTGTAGCTATTTAATCTTTTGAATAAGTATCACTGTCATCATTGTTTGATTAATTCTTGAACGTCCTTTTGCTTTTTCAAGATATTAATGCTAGTATCATGAGCAAGCTTTTAAACCTAGCCTAGGAATGTGGTCTTCTCTCTTTGCAACTGCTAATACATCGTGCTATATAAGATTATATATTGACTTAATCTCTTACGTTTTCATGTGATTGAGAACATCATCTGATTTTCGAAGGTTAGTAAGGTTATCATTAACTTTTGCTTCCTTTTCCAAGATTTCCATCTTTCTATTCAAAGATTGCATGCGCTTTCTCTCTTGGATCTTCTTAATTTCTTCCTCTCTGATTCTTCTGAGTTCTCTTCGGAGTTCAAATTCATGATCTTGATTTTCCTTCTTTTAGCCTACATTTTACTTTGCAAGTTCAAACTTTTTATCCATCATTTAGCATTTTTGTCTCCAGTGATAATCTTCTTCCTTTTTAAGTTATGACTGGTTATTTTTCTTTGCTTGGTTTTACTACTGCACCTATTTCAAGAATTTTTAAGCTTCTTTGGTCTTTTTAGCCATCATTTTATCGATTTCCTATTGAGTTTTTTCATGAACTTTTCTTTCCTCCTCAGCCTTTTTTTCCTTATCTTCTTAGGTTTTGATCTTTTTCTCTAGCCATTTTAGATTCTTCATTGAAACCTCTTACTAGACTTCCATTAAATGCTATTGGTGCTTCTCTTGTTTTTCTTATAGTGTACTTTCCACTTTGCTCATAGTACTCATACAAAACATCATTTCCTATCTATGTTTTTCTTCCAATTACTTAAGAACTTCATTTCTCTTTTCTTCATATTCCTTTCTTTTTCGTTCAATCTCCATATTCTAAGCTCTCTAAATCTCATCTAGTTTTTGAGTTTTTAATTCAAACATCTTCTTTTGTTTATTTTCTTCTCTCTCCAAGGTTCTCATGTACTCTTTCCTAATAATATCTTAGTTATGCTTCACTTTTTATAGTTTCATCTCATGCATCTATTTCTTTTATTTCTATGATTGAAGTTATAAGATTAATGAGATTGGCTTACCAATTACTTTTTTGTTGACACAAAATTTTAGCCTACATAGTCTTCTTGCTTTTTAAGTTTACTCTCAATAGAGTTTCTCCTATAGTCCTCACTGAACACTCTCTCAGTATCTCTCTATTTAAGGATTTAATTCGTATAACAGGATATAAATTGGTGCATTACATGAATTTTGTGTTTAAGGCGTTCTAGTTTTTATTTTTCATCTTTCAAACGTAAATCAGTTACCAAGCTCAAGTCCTAAATTGAGAAGTGAGATCTGGTGAGAGATAGCGGCAGCTTATTAGAGGCACCCTTGACACTCATCATAGATTTGTTCTAATTGTAGTTGTTAATAGTGTTATTGAGACTCCCGTTGTTATCGACGATCGTTAGATTCGGATCCTGATTATTTTATTTTTCAGCTATAATGTAATCATTAGAGCTTTTTACTAACTTTTTAATTGTTCAACTTACCTAATCTAGTGCGCTCTTCTAAAACCTCATTAATAGTCTAAAACAGTCTGGATCTATAATGCTTCCATCTTAGGTCTATTACATCTTGACTTACTCCTTTTTATTGGAATGACTCTTAAGGATGAGATAAGCATTCAATGGGATTGATTCCTAGGTTTTTACATGCTTTTTTAAATAAAGGTGATTCAATGTCTAAATTGATTGAGTCTATCTATTTAATAGTTTTAATTCTAGGCAGGTAATTGTGAATTTTCCCCTTTTCATGAGCGTTGTGAATTCTACCGTCTGCTGTACTGTAGTTTTATCTGGTATCCTAAACTAATGGGTTCTACAACATTTTGTTATTCTCGTTTTTCAAAAAGTTAAGCTAGGATGCTGAAGCATATGCCTTCAAATACTTCATTGATGACTTGGTTGTAATTTAGGTTTTATTCATTCTATCTTGTGACATTTATCTTTTTAAGGAAATTAATTATAATTAGATAGATATTTTAAAAAACTATCACATAATCATTAATATAGTGAGAAATTTCATTATTTCTGTTCGATTCATCATTGATATTCTTTTCCAGTTACCCTTGATTTGTACTATCTCCAGACCTTTTTCTATTGAAAACCCTTCTTTAATACATTGTCTATATTAAGGAAATCTTTCTTTAGCCCCATGAGAACGATGACATCTTTGTATTTTTTCCATTCACTTATTGTCATTTCTATAAGATAAGTATCACCCTCTGAATAGGCACTTTCACATCTTAGATTCTACACTGTTAACATACTAACTGGTTTTTATGTATCAAATAAAATGTCCTCTCCTACGAATTCCCCCATTTTAATTAGACCTATAGCCCCTAGCTCTTTAGAGTGAAGGATAATCTTTCCAAATAAAACAAAATAGAAACTAAGTTGAGTATCTCCCTCTTTAAATAGTAACTATTCCTAACCAAGTTTAATTAGGAAAAACGATTTGATCAATTCTCAAACAGCTTGCGATGAAATTTTCCCAAAGAATGTGTGATATTTCATTAGATGTACAATGGAAACCTCTACTACTCTTTTCTTATCTAACTTTCTATCAGGATTGTCTTTAAAGCACTGTTTGAGTAAAAAGCATGTATCATCGTACTAAAAGTTTTAATTTAATTGAAGCTTACATTATTATTTATCTATTTATCGCTACCTCTTAATGCTATTTCTTCGAAGTCAGCGATATTATTCTTATTCAAGAACAAACTTAGAAGATTATTATTTGGATCTGTATATTTTTTTACTGTTTTAGGTATTTAAACCTCATCTAAGGGTCTAGCTTAACCTCTAGGTGCATTCTTTTTTAAATTTGCTTCGACCATTTATCCACTAATATCTATTTTGAGATTATCATTAATTTCCATCACATATCTATAATGAATTCTATAAAGTTTTTTCATAATTGCACCCCCAGCATCGTCATCTTCATCCATTATAACCTTGTTAAGTTTACTTAAATCGTACGCTTCTTCACTTGGATCATAAATTCCGACTAACTTTTACTCCAATAGTTACATTTTACCTGTTGGAGAAGCATTTAATCCCATTTATCGTTTGCCTCCTACACCAGTTAATGATGAATGATTATTTCTTGCCTTAGATCCATTGCTTGTCGCTCTCATAGAGCTAGTTTCGCTTTTAAGAATCTTTTTTATTTCAGGTGAACTTTATAGTTACTGGTCTCTTAATTCTATACTTCTAAGTTCAGTTTCATTTATAAGAATTGGCTTTGAATTCAAAGTTGATATACTGTTCAATCTATTATGAGATGGTCCATCAAATTTATATCTCATGCTTTCTTACTTCAATTTTTAGAGTTGACTAGTTTGGTTCTATTATTCAAAAGACAAAATTTTATCTTGCAAAGAATTGGGGTCTGCATTTTCATTTAGTTTGATATTATCTCTTAATGGAGACACTCTGGCTGATGCAGAAATAAATTAATTCTATCCAGGCTATACTCTTCTAGTTGGATGCAGAACTATTGGACCTGGGTTTAATATCTTCATGAGATTTTAAAAATCATGTGATGTTTGATCTAGAGCTATACCATTCCTATCATTAGTTGAATTCCCTGTGTTAAAGTCATTATTTCCCATTTGATTATAGCTAAAAGACTAATTATTAGACTTCGTATTCATAATCATAGCACCAGCATTTTTCATTCTGTTTCTATTAAAAGGTGGCAAATGAGTGGCATTAGTAATTTGACTTGTAGAGGAGTCATAGTCACTATTCTGCAATCCACTAATGTTGCTTATGTTGATGTCTTGGGCAAAGCTTGAATTAATATTATTCATTATTAATAATTCTATCAATATTATCAATCCATCAACTTTTGAATAGCGGGGTTTTGGGGTTTTGGGGAGATCGGAA